GGGTGTAAATTTCCGTGGGTCCCATCTGTGTTACAGAAATTTACGCCCCGAAAACTTTTCTGATGTAATATTCGTAAAGTTTCGTCACGTGAAAATGTTAAAATTGATAACCTTCAAAAGTTAGCGAAGACCTTCAAAGAATAACATATCGAAAAACAGCGAAATACTTATGATAACGTTAACTTTCAAAGGTTTTCACTAAAAAAAATTTCCTGATGTACAATAAATTTCAAAGGATATTGTTAACAGTGCAAAATCAATTAAAATTGTTGCAATAAACTTTTGAAAGATATCGTTGACAGTGTAATATCAATTAAAATTGCTGCGATAAATTTTGAAGGATATCGTTGACAGTGCAATGTCGATTAAAATTGCTGTAATAAACTTTGAAGGATATTGTTGACAGTGCAATGTTAATTAAAATTGTTGTGATAAACTTCAAAAGACATTGTTAACAATACAATTTCAATTAAAATTGCTGCAATAAACTTCGAAGGATATCGTTGATAGTGTAATGTCGATTAAAAATCACAGTGATATAAATACAAGTAATGACTATTGAAATGATATATTATGAATATCTAATATAAACGAAGGTTATTGATACGAAATTACTACAAAAATGATAATATTTGTAAAATTTTACACATGAAGATATCAAAATCGATAACCTTCAAAGGTTATCAATATGAATTTACTACAAAAACAATAATATTCGTAAAATTTTGCACATGAAAATATTAAAATTGATAATTTTCGAAAGTTATCAATATGAATTTACTATGAAAATAATAATATTTGCAAAATTCTGTCTTGTGAAAATATCAAAATTGATAACCTTCAAAGGTTAACGAAGACCTTTGAAGGATAATATATCAAAAAACAGCGAAATACTTATGTTAACATTAACTTTCGAAAGTTTTCATTAGAAAAAATTTCCTGATAATTCAAGTGAATTTACAGACAATATACAAGATGAAATGGATATTGAAAATGATAATAATGATAATTTTTTAGAAAGAATAAATACATTAAAAATAATTCTTAAACAAAATAAAAAAAAAAATTTTCAACATATGATTTTTTTAGGTATTAATTAGTTTATAAATTTTTTATTAATAAAAAAGAAAAAATATGAATAGTAAAGATACTTCATTTAATGTAACAAAGAAAATTTTTGGTATAAGATTATATTGTGTAAAAGCAATTTGTAAATAGTTAAAGAATTGGTTTGAAAATAATGTTTTATCAATATCATTATAAGATTATCATCAAAAAATCAAGTTATTAATAGATGATAAAGATGTAATTGAAAAGAATTTGAAATTTATTTGTAATAATGAAAGAAAAATTTTACTAAAATTATATAGAGCTTTTATTAACAAAGCTCTTTTTTTATAATTGAAAATAATTAAATCAATTTTAGAAAAAATAGTTAAAATATGATTATGAAAATTTGAATTAATTTTACAATTACAAAAAAAAAAAAAATTTATTTTGATAGACATGAAAATTCAGATGTGATAGAATATAGAAATATTTTTCTTAAAAAGATAAAAAAGTGTGAAAAATTAATATCAATATTTGAGGATGACAATATAAATTAAAAAAATCCAATTTATTAGATAATTAAAAACTTCACATTTTGATAACTCATAATGAATGTCTTTTTTATACCAATAATAACTGTCTAATAATTTAGGTACCACTTGGTGAACTGTCTCTTTATAAAAAAGAACAAGAAAAATCAATAATGGTTATTGAATTTTTAACTGAAACAATTAGTTATTTAAAATTAACAAATGAATAAGTTGAATTATATCTTGATATTTCAAGAAATGTATGAAAATTTTTACATTTAGATAAAAATAAAGAAGGATAGTGAACTGCAAAATATTTAGTTGAACAAGTAAAAGATTTTGCTATATTAATTTTTGAAAAAGTTTATTCAAATACAATTGCTATTTTTGTATTTGACAACAGTACAAATCATGAAGCATTTTTTGATAATGTTTTATGTGCACAATATATGAATTTAAATTCAGATGGATGTCAATCAATAATAAAAAATACAACATTTAAATTAGAAAATACTTTTCAATCAATGATATTTCTTTTTGATTATTCAAAATATCTAAACAAATCAAAAGTATTAAACAAATATTAATTAAACGAGAATTATGATATGATAAATTAATTCTTAATTGTTAATTATGCAAAAAAAAAGTTAAAGATTCAACAAGAATTGATTGTTGTGCTCATAAAATTATATTCTTACAACCTGATTTTTTATTACAAAAGTTAGAATTGAAAACAATAATTAATGAAGTTGGACATAAATATATTTTTTATTTCAAATATTATTGTGAATTGAACTTTATTAAATGTTTTGGAAAGCAGCAAAAAAATATATATGTGAAAATTATAATTATACATGGAATGGATTGCAAAAAACTGTTTCTGAATTTTAGATTCTATTTCATTAATTCAAATAAGATGTTTTGCAAGAAAATCATGAAGATATATGGATATTTATAGAAAAGGTGTAACAGGAAAACTTGCAGTTTTTGTAAAAAAAAAATACAAATTATATAGAAGAGTTCCTGATGATATATTTAATCAAATTATTTTAGAAAATGATTATAATGAATAATATTATTAATATATTTTTTATTAATAAAATATTTATGTTTATATAAAATTAAATTAGTCAATATAAATCATCCTAGATCACATTTTTGTTAACCAGAAAAATTGAGAAATTTTTTTTTTGCCTATATTGTTTATCTATTCAAGAGCTATTCAATGGTACTATTTTTATTAAATTCTGATCACTAGATCAAAATATATTCAAGGTACCTATTAGAAAGATTCCACACTGTATAAACAAATAATAAAATTACTGATGAATAAACAATCAATAATTATTTTCATATTTTTTTTATTTCAATCTTTATTTTTATTAAATTTTGGCCATTTTTATTCATGTCTAAGTAAAGTCCAAATTTTTACTAGATAATATGAAATATACTTTTAATTAAAGTTGTAGATATCATTTCTGGCTACAGTTTTATATAAAATAGTTGGTATTTATCTTTAATATCTATTGAATCCAATATAGGTAATTTTCAAAGATTAAAATTATTATTTATTGTCACTTTTATTTAAAGTGTAATTACTCCACTTGTAGATATTCAATTTTAATACAAATGCATTATTTTAATAACTCTAGTTCAAGGGAATTTAATAAAAAAAAAGTATGCACAATTTCAATTATTCGTTATACCATAATTGACTTTTGAATAGTGCTAATAAATTTTAAAAAAGTCTCTGGTCCAATACTTTTGATAGGTGAGTATATAATAACCATTGTTCTAAACTCTATTGTTCAGGAGCTAAAATTTTTTAAAGACAAAAATCCTGGTGTTACAATACTTTTGTAAATGTAAATTCAGAAATACAAGAAAGGGATATGATATATTATAATAAATAATAAAGATAAGTATACAGAATAATAAAAGAAATGGTGTTTATTAAAGAATAAATTAGAGAACTATTTATAACAATTATTAAAGACTTGAACTTAATTGATCTGAAACTAATTTGAACTTGACTGATTGAAAAACCAAAGTTAAAGACCTGTATTTATATTCTTTAGACACCCTCTGTGCTACAGACGAATTATACTATTCTCTATACTAGATTCAATACAAATAATATTATCAAAGGTAATTTCATTACCTTTCCTCAGGTAACAATGAGTGTGTCAGAGAATCATAAACTTTAAATTAGAACAAATTATTATGTGATTAATTTTTTGTTTCCATCAATCATGTGCGGTTGCTAAGTGTTGTTACTCTTGCATATATACATAATATTTCAGGTAACTTTCTTTTATAAAAGATACTAATAAGTTTTGTTTAATTTATACTCAAGAAAGAAGCAAAATTGTAAGTATTCAAGTGAAAAGCGGAAAAGGGGTTATTATTAATTTATTATTCTTTATTTTATATATTTTATCTTTAATTTCCGTTGTTTAGCTATTATAATTTATTTATTAGAAAAAGCCCATCTTTGTGATGAGGTAGCACTAAATTCATACAACTTTATGAAGATATAATATAATTTATTATAGCAGAAAATCCTCAGCTTTCAGAATCACTAAAAATTTCTCGTTCAATAAAAGTAAAAGAATAAGTTTCTTAGTGGCAACTGTAGATTCCTGTATTTTATATATTATTCACTGATTGGTATATGGATCACGAATTAAGTTTTTTTTTGTGTAATTCTCTATGAAATTAATTGGGATTAATTGAGATTAATTCGTCATATCAAATTTATCAAATTAAAACTCTTGTGTACCAATAATTAAAAAGACGTACCTCTACAACAGATGTGCCATCGCGAAATCTTGTACGAAACAGAACATTGGCATTGTTAAACATTCCTTCCTTAAGTGAAACGACTATAAATTGAGATCCTTTAAATCGAGTTCGAAGTAATTGACCGATATTTTGTGTATGTGAAAGATCAAGTGCAGCATCCACTTCGTCCAAAATATACATCGGAGCAGGTTTAAATTGTAATAATGAAAGAATCAACGATAAAGCTATCAAGGATCTGTTAAATATATTCGCGTGAGAATAATATTATTAAACCAAAGACTTCTAATAATCAATAATTTGTAATCATGTAAAATAATACCTTTGACCACCACTTAATTCTGCTAAGCTTTGTTTCCAAACTCCACCAAGTTGTACTTTAACTTCCAAACCTAGGTTTAGTTCTGATCCTTCAGGTATTTTAAGCGAAGCAAAACTATTTGGCAATAAATCGCTGAAAATTGCACCAAAATCACTTTCCGAAAAAAAAGATGCCAAAATAAAAATAAAATTAAACTCGAATAATAATTAGAAGTCAATGAGGTTAAAACGCATTGTTCTAATACTTACCCATCAACTTTTTTCCAAGTTCTTTCTAAAGCATCTTTTTTATAATCATCAAGAGAAACTATGGTATCTTCTATTTTTTTCTTATCTTTCTGCACGGTCGCTAACATTTGCTTTAGTGAAACTTCTTTTTTCTCAACACTATTTCAATAAAATTTGTAAATTTAGCAAATATAAATATATTAAAAAAAAAAATAATAATCGCGAAAGATAATAATATAATGACCTATCAATCATGTTCATGACTTTTGCGTTGATCTTTTTACGCATATTATTATGTTTCTTTTCTAATTGTAGTAGCATTTTCTTACATTCATTTGGATTTTGATTAATATAATCATAAGCTGTATTAGGTTGACCAAAATGTCTATAACAACAAAAATTCATTAGTACAATTTCAAAATAATTTCAAATAATTTACTATAACAAATGATTTATCGAAAGCGAATAGTTAAAAGTGTGGAAAGTTCACATCGCGATCACATTGGAAAGCTCAATGAAATTAAAATTTGTGAACTTAACTGTTTCTGATGCAAAATCCAATCATGTTTTCGTTCCATTTGTTGAATAGCATTTTGCGCAGCTTCTTTTTCTTCAAGAAATCTTCCAATTTCGTGATTTATTGTTGTTATTTTTAATTTTGTTTCATTTATTTGATTATTTTTTGTATCAAAAGCCTTTTGAAGATCTCTGATTTCTTCATCATAAGCAGACAATATTTCTAATTCATTGTCCAATTCAGCTTGAGCTTGTGCTTGTAAAGTCTAATCGAATAAATTATTAATAAAAATTATTAATAAATAATAAATTTTAGAATTAATTAATTATCAAAATTATATAAATTATATTAATATTTACCATAAGCTGATTTAGTTCTTCATCCATTGATTTAGTCGATTCAGTCAATTGTTGGATGATTATATCAGAATTACCAATATCTTTATTTATACCGTTTAAATCTTCTTCGAGATTCTCTAGAAAAATAGGTAATATAAATTTAAAATTATAATTATATAAATAGTTAATTGTAACCATCATTTATTGTAAAACTTACTTATTTCGAGATGTAATATTTGAACTTGACGTTGCATGTTTATAACAATTTGATTACTTTGTGATAATTCTGATTTTCCTTGGGAAACTGTTCTCTATTCATTTATGTATAAAGTTAAATATTGTATCAAATAAAAAGTATTTAAATTATTAAAAGTTCGATATGGCCGATTACCTCTATATCTTTCATTTTGGAGTCACGATTATTTTTAAATTCGTTCATTTCATTTTCAATCCTTTGACAATTTAAAATAAAGGTATTATATTTTTCCTTAGCAGCTGTAATTATATTTTCTTGCTCGATTATTTGAGTTTTAATACTTTCAATAACTTGAATTATCTATAACATTTGAAACATAATAAATTAATCTAATTATCTAATTCTTAAAATATATATTGATTTAATTCCATTTATTTACCTGTGAATTACTACTCTTACTGATTTGTTCTTCCAACAAGGTCACCTCGTGTGTTTTTAAATCTAGTCCTTTTTTGATTTGATCATATTTTTCTTTTATTCTTTGTGTTTTGTTAATTTCTTCATTCAAATTATCAAATGTACGTTGATGACTATTCAATTGTTCTTTAAGATCTTTCCAGGCCTGCAATTTTACTAGAATTCCAGCTGATGATGGTTTGGAACCACCTTGAAGAGTACCGGAAGGGTCATAAACATCTCCCTCCAATGTAACAGATTTTGTCATGACTCGTTTGTCAAATGTTATTTTATTAGCGGTATCAGCATCCGAACAGATTAATGTGCCACCGAATACAAACTCCATTGCTCTAATAACTTCATTTTCATACCCTATTAAAGACAAAGCCAAATCCACTTTTCCGGGAGCGATATTTCGAGCTACCGCAATTTTCTTTAATGATAGATCGCATATAAGAAACAATTAAACGTAAATCACTATATCAAAATTTAAAGATCTTACCTCAGCGGATACTTTAAATGGTGTGATTTTATTCAAAGGAATGATCGTAACACGTTTCTTCAATCTTCCAGTATCAAGAAGTTGTGCTCCAACCTTTTCATTTTCTACCACAACCTTTATATATATAAATACATATGATTAATTATGGTTGAATATTGTTCGTCATAAATTTCATTTATATTTAATTTCCCAAAGGTTTTACATTGTATAATCTTCCACCAGCGCAAATTTCTAAAGCTGTAGAACACTGTTCATTCTCAGAACTCAATGTGACCAATTCTGCAATTAAACCTTTGACTTGTCTTCGATTAAAATTCGGTGTAGGATCGGTATAAGTAAATTGCAAGCTCGTTAATTTGCTTGCTAAAGATTCACATTTCTAAAAAGAAATTATAATAACAATAAGTTAATATTTTTAATTGTTAATAGATAATTATATGCAGAATTATTAATTAATACCTCAGTAAGTTCTTGAATCGCACCGTGTTCAATGGATTTTTTCTTCAATATATCTTCATCTTTACTTGGATCCCAATCAATTTTTGACAATCTCGTCTATATATAAATGCAGATCAATTTATTTATTTCATTTTCAAATCAAGTAAAAATATTTGTGTATTTACCTGTAGATCCTGCATAGATCTTTTAGTCAATTCTAAACTATTCAATAACTCCCAATTATCATTCTTAGCTTTTACAGCCTGTGGTTCCTTTTCATTTAGTTCTTTCTTAAGATGCGATATTTTTAATTTTGCCTGCTCAATTTCTGTTAATGACTGAGAGGCATTATTTTTGGCCTCTAAATAATAATAATAATCCAATAAATAAATGTTAATTTTAAAAATTTTTAAAATTTTTCAATTAGTAATTATTAATTAATAGTACCTTGAAGCTGTTCCATATACCCATTTTCATGTCCTTCCTGCGCAGAAACTCCAGTTGATAAAGTCTGCAAAAGTTCTTCCGCCTTTCGCAATTGTTCGCTTTTCTCATAATGGATTTTTTTCATGTTTTCGAATTGTGCTGTCGATTTTTGATATCCTTCATTTTTTTGTTTCAAATTTTCTTCTAACTAGATATATTAGATATTTATAGATTATATAGATCAACTAAAAAAGGGAAATCAAAAATATAACGATAACCAATTAATTAATAACAATTGTTGTCATTACCTCTGTTCTACCAGATATTAGACTATTTTTATTGTTAATTTCATCGGATATAGATGTTTTGTTGAGGTCACATTTTGTGCGTATTCGAACTATTTTGTTAGAATATTCAGTCACTTTTTTCTCTAATTCTTGAATTTTTCCTCCTTGACCTATTTCCTGTATAGTTAAAGAAATCTTAAGAATATCATCTAAAATTTTGCTTGTATAATTTATAAATCCAAATATACCTTCTCTTTGTTATATGTTATCTGTTTTATATCCTCTTCTAAATGAACAAGTTCTGCTTTAAGTTGTTCATTAGATTCTTGTAAATCACGGACTTTGGCTTTCTTTGATTCAAATTCTATTTCTGATCTATTAAGTTTATCCTTTTACAGAAATTATAATTAATATAGTTATTCAGGTTTTCTGGCGAAATATAAGACATACTTGATATTTCATGTATTCATATGCGACGACCAAACGACTCAATCTTTCTATATCAGATTCTGTTTTTTGAAATTCCAAATAAGATCTTTTTTCTGTTCTGAGCTTGTCCAATTTTGGACCAATTTCTTCATTTAATAACTAAGAAAAGAAATTATAAATCAACCACGGAATATTTTGCAAATATAAATTATTGAAAGATTTTGTTTACCTGAGTGATTTCCTCAACTTTTTTTTCTTTTTTTGCGATAGTCTTCAAAGCCTTTTCTTTTCTCTCCTCAAACATACGTGTTCCAGCTGCCTCTTCTATCATAGCCAAAATTTCAGGTGGTTTCATATTAAGAACTTTAGTAATTCGACCTTGCATGATCAAAAAATGTGGATTATTTATATTAAGCTGTACTGATTGAAATAGATTTCCAACGGTCTGTTGTTGAGCGCGATGACCATTAATAATATATTTGCTTTGACCTCCCATAATGATCTTATAATATATAACGTTAATTGTTAGTTATAGAAAAATTAAAGTTTATATGCATGAATGTTAATGTATATCACCTGTCTGGTTACTGTTATCTGTTTACATTGTTCGAATGCAACTGGACTATTTTCTCTATCTTCGTTATTAAAAACAATTGTGACTGAAGCTTTATTAACTCCAGCTTGGCCACGTTTGTAAATCAGATCTTGCAAATTACTCGCTCGAACCTATGGTATATTTTTAAATTTGTTAAAAAAAATTTTTTCACTTTAAAAGTCTTATTTCAAAGTAGATCTTAATACCTGACTCATGTTTGTGATTCCCAAAACGAAGCAAATCGCGTCTAAAATATTTGATTTTCCTGAGCCATTTAAACCTGTGATTGCATTGAATTCGGGATCCCACCTAGAGATAACAGTACGAACTGCATAAGATTTGAATCCATCAATTACAAGTTCTTCTATTCTCATTTGAAAGTTTTGAAAGTTTAGAGTTCAACTCAAATGACGTAACGCGTGTAATGGATTATCAGTCATTAATTAAAATTATTGTGTAACCAGAGAATCAATTGATTTAGATCCTTCCCAAACTTATTAAAATTATTAAAATACATATAAATAATTGTTATTAAAAGGAAATGATTTTTTATGAACTAATTTCTGAAATTTATTTATAGTCTAAAGGTTTAAATATTTCTATAAAAATTTTAACTCTAAAATAATAGTGTTGATTATATATATTGTCCAAATTACTCGGAATTTGGGATTTGGGATTATATAGTGTTTGGGATTTGGCATTTAAGGTCTGGGATTTGGCACAATATAAATAATTTGAGATTTTGAAAAATAATTTGAACTGAACAACATGTATAGAGTTGATGATCAAATTTAATTTGCCCCATTAATTATGTAACATTACTAGAACTTTAAGATTTTCTTATTATTGCAGATTTTTTAATGAAGCCAAAAACACAGGATTACAAGAAAGTTCATAATTAATTGTGTTTTTAATTTTAATAATTAAATGTCAATAACATTATTAACTAAATTTAAAGATATATCTTTTGTAAAAAATTAAAATAATTATAGACATTTAAACTTAAATGTTAAAATTTTAATAATGAATATTTAAATGTTTATTATTTTTCTCAATTCTTATTTAATATTTTTATTAGTAAATAATAAAGTTTATTATGTACTAATTCCATTTTTTCCATGTGAGTCTCTCTCTTTATAACCTTTGTCTAGTTAATCAGAACCTGTTACAATCTTTATTTCCTTATTAATGATACCACTAACAAGTATTAAAAAAACTTCAATTAACTGAACAAGGGAAAACTTTCATACTATTGAAGAATAGATTTTTATGGTTAGCTATCTTAGAGACTATTCAAATCAAGATTCTCAAAGTTAAGTTAAAGCATATAATGGCACAGTTACTAAATATGGAGAAAGTTATTAAAACAAAAACTACTGTAACTCATTTTTTTGAGCTTATGTATTTTTGACCAATCACAGTTGTGTTGATCATGCTGCTCATAGTGAACTTGGAAACGAACTTTAAATCCCGCCAATCCGATACCATACATATATTTAATATTAATATAATTTTTGTTGAAAACAATGATAAAACAATGTAACAATGAAGATTCACTTTCATTTGAACTTTTTATTCAATCAAAAATTTTCCTTAAATGCCACCAAGTTGAATATTTTGTTACACAATTAATTTGGCAAAAAATACAAGGTTACGAGTTTTGTTTATTTGTTATAAAAAAATACTGGCGGCGCATTTGTTCTCTGAATCGAGTAAAAGTAAATTAATTAGCAAATCGATGATGTACAAACAGAGTCACAAGCCTTGCACCCAATGGAACTGCGTCTGATGATATGGAAAAATTGACAATATATAAAATTAATCAACCAACCATCTTTATTCGATTCATATTGTTATCACTTTGATCTAAATTTTTAAATTTTGAGCTGCATAATAATAATAATACAAAAAATTTTTGAATAGTTCGCACACAAAAACGAGACGTCTAAATTTCGAGTATGTGCTTTATCTAAATGCGAACGAGTTTACCCGCTCTAAGAAAATATAAGTACGTAATGTCTTTATTTTTCCTTAAATCGCATTAATTATTGTGTGATATTTGATTTGTGAATTATATAAAAATATATGTATATATATATACTTTTTTTTTTCAAAAATTTGTTGATATATTTTCTTTTAGACTGTGTCCAGTGCTAGGCTCGTCAACTGTCGTCTCTTTGGTTTTTATTTTACGCTTTCTGGACAATTTGGGTATTTCGTATTAGTCGCGCTTTAAATCTTCACTTTTTTTACTTTATTTCTTGTATATTTTTTACTTTTCCTTTTTTTACCTTTATCTGTTCCGCCATCTTTTTTTTTTTCAACGGACAGTTTGTAAATTATTTCAAAATTTTTTTTTTTTTAAAAAAAAAACTAGTATTATCTTTTTTTTTAGTTGTCCTTTTTTTTCTGGTGATTTAATTTTCTTTTTTTTGAAATATAATATCCGTTTTCAACGCGATTTGAGAGATAAGAAAAATTCGCGTTTTTTTGGTTCATAAAAAATTTTCCACACGTTTCCTTTTTTTCGATTTCATTTATCAGTATTTTTACATAGCTTCAAAAAGTATTATTCCTAGAAAATCAAAAAAAAAAAAAAAAAAAAAAAGATTCTTTTAAATTTTATATAAATTTACTTTGTAAATAATGACAATTAAGGGTAGACAACTTTTTGTTGGAAACGTGAGTGTTTTCTTGGAGTTTCTTGGAGTTACTGGATAGTTTTTCAAAAAATAATTACTTCATAACTTTCAAATTTTATTTTTTCTTCCTCTCGCGTACGTTAACTTGGTTGTTGATCCATTTTTTTAATGTCGCGGATCTATAGCTTCCATTTGTAGGTTAGTAATAAATCACGCGTTTTTTGAATTTTCAAATTAATTTGATGATTAATCTTATTCATTCTTACTTTTAATTTTTTTTATCTTTTAATGTAAAAGTGGGCTGGCAAGACTTAAAGGTAAATATATGAATCTAAATATAAATTAATAAATGGATATACATATGTGTATATATATATATCTCTCTATTTAAACAATGTATAAGAATATATTATTTTGGTTTTTGATGATTGTAATATTAATAGTATAAATAATTAATTTCTCTCTAGGATTTATTTAGATCCGCAGGTAATGTACAACGGGCGAATATCATTCAAGGCCGCGATGGTCGGTCAAAAGGACACGGTATTGTGTTATATGCGACTGTGACTGACGCGCAAAAAGCCATATGTAAGAAAATTTAGTTCAGAATGAAATTATGTTTTAATATTGTAATGTAAGATTAATGATTTATTTAATTTCGTTAACTCAGCAACGTTTGACGGATACGAATGGCATGGACGAAGATTAGAAGTTCGAGAAGTATGTCAGATATAATTATTTATTAAACGTTATCAATTTAATTTATTAATTTATTATTAAGTAACATTCTTTAACTTTTTAATTAGGATCGTAGTGCAATGGATTTTCCACCGCCCCCACCACGAACAGAGAGTGCAAATGTCAATAGTCAATCTGAGACGATTAATAATGAGGTGAAAAAAAAAACAGATTTAACAATAAAATAATAAATTTAATACTTATATTTAACTTTTATTATATTAATTTTTTTTTATTATATTTACTTTATTTTATTATATTTAATTTATTATATTTATTTTATTATCAATATTTTATCATTATTGTTATTGTTATTGTTGTCGTTTCTAAATAAAGACCGAACATGATATATGTGCTACAAATGGCATATCAACACCAGCCACATTAAACGAAATTAATGGTACCACATCAACGCATACAACATCTTCTCCAGTTAGTTATTCGACTAATGAAATGAATGGCATAAATATTAATGGGGTGACATATGTTGATGAACCGGCTACAAATAATTTAATTATGGGAAATGGAATAATTTCACAACAACAGCTATTTGTTGGAAATGTAAGAATAATAGAAATCATATTATTTTTAATACATTGATCTATATCTATATTGACTTATATTGTGGCTTCAATGATATATAATAAGTTGCCATTCCGTATACGATGGCAAGATTTAAAAGATCTATTTCGGAAAGCTGGAACAGTGTTACGAGCTGATGTCGCAATGGGTTATGATAACAGACCAAAAGGACATGGAACAGTCTTATTTGGAAGTCAAGAAGACGCAAAAAAAGCTATTTGTATTTACATTTCTATATTTTAATTTCAATTATTTCAATTTTTTTTTTCAATAATTAAAATTTCTTTTTATTTTTCACTTTTTATTTTATTTTTTTTTTATAATCTATTTCAGCCATGTTTAATCATTATAACTGGCAAGGTCGTAGCCTCGAAGTACGAGAAGATCGAGATAATAATAATAGTAATAATAATAATTTCATACTGGATCATGGTTATGTTCGTCGAAATATTGATCCTTTAAATCATCCTCAACCACCTCATTATGTTCCTACAACACCAATGATTGGTCCAGCTGGAATTTACTTTGTGAGTTACATACATATATATATATATTTATTTATTAAAAAATGTTTGTGAATAATTTTTGTTACTGCAATTCTTCAACATTGGTCTTTAATAGATTATATATATATTTTTAGCCTGCGAGAGGAATTCAAATTCCGCAACATAATCATGCTGGAAGATTGCTTTTTGTTGGAAATGTAAGAATTTTCTAGAATATCTTTATTTATATTCATTATATTCACCATATCATTTTTCGTCACCACATTTGATTGGTTTAATTAATAATATTTTGGTATAGCTTCCTTTTAATTGTCAATGGCAAGATTTGAAAGATCTTTTTAGGAATGCCGGAAACATCATTCGAGCTGATGTTTTAACGACTTATGATGGACGAAGTCGAGGTTTCGGTACAGTGTTATTTGCTACCCCGGAAGATGCTAGAAATGCAGTTGGTAATTATAAAATTATCTATTTGAAATAGAAATATTTTAAGTTATTATTGTTATTTATTGTTATTCAACCTAATTTTTATTTTATTTTATTTTATTCATTAATAATAATTATAAATAGGAATGTATAATGGTTATGAATTTCAGGGAAGAATATTACGCGTTCATTTTGACAGATTTTCGTTACCTACTTTGCCACCACATCACCAACATAATCCACCACATCCCGTTCATTTAGCTCCCCCGCACGTTCATCCTCATCGTCCTCCACACCCATTAATACCTCACAATTTCCACCTTGGACCACCAATTCCACATCCTCATTTCATATCTCCTGCACATATGGGACCTTTTTCACCATCTTTAGCAACTCCTCCTTTAACTAGTCCTCCATTTTCTAACACATATAATACTTTGGCACATCATAATAATCAACATAATTCAAACCCTAATGGATCTACAGCTTTCCAACCATTGTCAATAATTCCAACTACTACTGTATCTATGGAACAATCAAATCTATCACAAGATCAAATTACACAATTTTCTGGATTTGGTCCAATTGGAAAAGTCAATCATTCACCTCAATCAAATACTACATCATCTTCAATTTCGAATTTAGGAGCTGTAGGATATTCTTCTTCTTCAAATACTACAAATGGTATCGTTGGAATAAATGGTTTCAATGGATCAGAAAATAATTATGGAACAGGAAATGATAATAATTCTCTTCATAATTTAACATCTTCATTTGGAAATTTGCATCTTAATCAAACTCCTCAACAATTATTCTTTCATCATCCTGCTCATCCTCATCCTCATCATCGCCCTCCAATTCCTACTGCATATCATCCTCAACATCATCATCATCAAGTTGCGGTTCAACAACAACAACAACAACAACAACAACATCATCATCAAAATCATCCCGGTGCTATTGGAAGTGGTATGAATGGTCATCATATTCAAGTTCACACTAATGGAATATCGTCTATTTCAACCAATGGATCGTCAAATGTAGTTCATTCAAGTCATCCTCCCTTATCATCCAACTCTAATGTAACAGGGGAAACTGATAATAATAATAATAATAATAATAATAATAATAATAATAATAGTAGTAGTAAAAATATTATATTAGGATCATCAACTACCAAAGATGTAAATTCTAATTCACCGAGTATTAATGGAACTTCTTCATCTACTTCATCAATTGTTGTCCCATCACCTGGTTTATGGGATAATGGTGCATCAACAGTATTATCATCAACCGCCACCACATCAACAGGTGTAAATTCATCGAATGGAGTCATGAATATAGGAATGGCTACTATAACTGGAATGAGTAATGGTCTTGACGGTTCTAATATCGTTCCAACGATGGTAATACCAACTGTACCTGCGCAATCTGTATTTATTCGGCATATGTAAATTAATTTAAAATGGGGGGAGGGCTTCATTTTTATCTACGAATTTTTTTTTCTTTTATAAGGTTGGGTTTGGTTTTGGCGTGGATGGTTTTTTTTAAAAAAAAAGGGAAAACTGCAGAATAGCGTGTTTTTTTTTTTGGTTTGTAAAATAAGTGAGAATTACTTACATTATTTTGTTGTAAAAATATTTTATATTGATGTTTAGGGGTATGATGATTTGAGATGAACATTACTTTTTTTTTATTTCTTTAAAAAAAAAAAGAAAAATATATATATTTTTATTTTATTTACTAATTTCCAAAAAAAAAAAATTTTGTAACCTTTATTCATTTTCAAAAAAATAAAATACCATAATAAATAATTCTTTAATGTGTAAATTTTTTTTTTACACATTCGAAGAAAACTAATACATCCAACTAATTGAATGTCCAACTGCCTTCTAGCGGAATCGAACCGCTGACCTTCTGCTTACTAGGCAGACGCTCTGCCAACTGAGCCAAGAAGGCATTGAATATGATAATCGCCAATTAAAATTTATTATAAATTTATTTATTTTTATTTTGTCATCATTTAGAAAATCTTCGTGTTACGTACGAACTCGGTGCCAAACGATACAGTTAATATGTATACTCGTATTTCTAGTGGTAATCAGGGTCTCAAGTTAGAAGAAAAAGTAAGGTTATGGAGGCACGACGCTTATTTGAGAAATTTATATGAAACTGCTGCATTTTGGGGGAATAAAGTGATGACAATGACTGGTAAAATCTATCGTTTTTTTTAAAATCATATATTTTTAATTGACTAAATGAGAATAAGAATAAACATATTTTTTAATATAAATTATTTAGGTGATCCAAATGACATGTATTGGTTAGCTATAATATATTTTAATATGGGACAATATGTTAGAGCACAGAAATTAATAAGGAATTTTATTGAATCGAGTAAAGTCTGTCGATATTTAGCCGCAAAGTGTTGCGTGAGTATGAATAACAACAAAATGTAAAGCAATGTATTATCAATTTCGGTATTTCTTATTCGCTTGCCAATTATTCATGTTAGATTTAAGAAGTTTATTATTATTATTATTATTATTATGATTATTATTATTATTATGATGATGATGATTATTATTATTATTATTATTTTGTATTTCATTGTCTCTTTTGTCGTATCATTATATATATTATTAGATAAAAATGGAAAAATATCAAGAAGCGATAGAAATTCTCGGAGAAGAAAACCCAATTTCTAAAAAAGGTAGAAATAATGTTAATGAGGAATATTTTAAAGTTATTAAATGAATCTTCAATGTGCACGAGTATTTTACAATAATCCATATTTATATATTTATATTTATATATATCTTTTTTTTCCATATCTTTAGAATCTATTTCGACCGCCAAAAGTACGGAATGTAGTATTCAAGTAATTATTTCTATTTTATAAAATTAAGATTCTTTTCTTTATATATATTTTATTATATTTGTCATATAGAATTTTATTATTTATCATTAGGTTGAAGCATCACTATGTTATCTTCGGGGGTTTGCTTATTCTCAATTGAATAACTTGGAAAATGCAAAAAAGTGTTTTAAGGAAACTTTAGAATTAGATGTGAAATGTTACGAGGTGCAGATCTAGTATTTTCTGTTGATCACGTTGGTATATTATATGGTAATTATATGATTATTATTGATAGGCATTTCATGAATTAGTAAATAATCACCTGATGACGAGTAAAGAAGGTTTGTAAATTTATCCTAGACCCGGGGGTCACAACTCTTAAATTCAGGTCACAATTGTATTTATCACGTGTTAGTTACTTTAAAAAATTTATTTATATAGGTAAAAGTCTAGACCCGGGGTCTTATTTTAAGGGCACTTTTGTTTTTTCTTTCTAATATTAATATAATTTTAATAACATGATTCAAAATCGTTTCTTGGATGTTATTCTTTTTTATTCATTTATAGAATGGGAATTTATTAATTCATTAAAATTTGAAGAACAACTGGAAAGTGATGAAGCTGAATTTATTAAAATGAATTATATTTCAATGCTCAAAAAGGTTAATATTTTATCTAATTTATTATATATTTATTTGTAAGTTTAATTAAGACATAATATTGACATATTATTGTATTAGCATGATCATTTATCTGAGATTCGAGAGACGAGATTGGAATTGGAAGAGAAATTTAAATTAAAAAGAGATTGTGATTTATTAATGAGTCATGCGGATGAATTGTATGCCCAATGTCGATTTAAAGAATGTTACGAGATCACGAAAAAGTATGAATTCACAAAATTCATATTAATTATGCTTTTGAACTTTGAGAATTCTTATAATTTACTTTTTTTTAATTTCTATGTAGGATACTTGAACAAGACATGCACAATCATGCTTGCCTTCCAATTCATATAGTTTGTCTTCATGAATTACGCGAAAAAAATAAATTATTTTTATTAGCTCATGAACTAGTTGAAAATTTACCAGATAAAGCAGTTACGTGGTTTAGTATTGGTTGTTATAACTATTTGATTGGTCGAAATGATGAGTCTAGGAGGTATTTTATGTAAGTTATTATTTTCATTAATCCTAAAAAAAAAAGGTTGGAATTTTTTTAATCAATTGATGATTAATTATACTTATAATTTAGCAAGGCTTCTACTATGGATTCCCATTACGGACCTGCATGGATTGGATTTGGTCATACATTTGCATCAGAATCTGAACATGATCAAGCTATTACTGCTTATTCTACTGCAGCAAAATTATATCCTGGGTATATAAATTTAATATTATCAATTTTATAAATTTGTCTTTCAAATACGTTATCATTCTTATTTGCTAAATTTAATTTATTTTGGGGGATATAAAATAGATCACATCTTCCAACCCTTTTCATCGGCATGCAACATCTTCAAGCTAATAATCTTTTATTATCTGAAGAGTATTTGCTAACAAGCTACAATATATGTGAAAGGGATCCATTGGTATTGAATGAATTAGGCGTGTTGTTCTTTCAAAAATTAAAGTAAGCGATGTTTCATAATACATTTTATTGTTTATTTTTATTGAATCATAATTTATATATTATTTATATGTTATTGGTGATCAGATTTCCTGAATCGGTTGATTTTTTTAAGAAAGCATTAGCACTTGCCGAGGAAACGAAATGTCGGCCACAAATTTGGGAGACCACATGGATGAATCTTGGTCATGCATTCAGGCTATTAGGGTAAGTTTTCTAAATTTGAATTTATTTTTATTTTTTTTTTCTAAAACTTTTAACATGTATTAACATTATTGGACCTTTTTTTTTTCTAGTGATTTAGATGTCGCCGAAACTTATTTTAAAAAGGTAATATCAATGTCCCCACCAAATCCAAGTGCTTTATCCTCTCTTGGATATATTTATCACGTAAAAGAAGAATTTGAAGAAGCATCTACATATTATCATGAGGTTATTATTTTATTTATTTTTTTTTTTTATTCATTTATTATAAAATTTTATAAAATTATAAGACAAACCTAACCATAAACAAATATTTTTTAATATATATTTATATTAGGCACTTGGAATTCGTCCATACGATTCTATAACACAAGATTTATTAGGAGTATGTCTTAGAGAAATGATTCGTGCAAAATCCGAATGATTTTTTGAACCTTTTCGTTACCATGTTTTTCTCGAACATTTAAAAAATTTTTAAAAAAAAATTAATAAGCCAAAGTACATAAAAAAAATTAACTTGGTTATTTTGTTCGAAATTAATTTAATGTTAACAATTGTAAAAAATTTGAATAAGCCAATTGTTGAAAATACTAATTAATAGCAAAGCTATTATATCTATGTTTTATATTATATTAGCTCTCTTAAAGGTAAAATGTATATTTATGCATATTTTACAGTAAAAGATTTTTTTTTATCGGTGAGAAGAAATTATCATGCAAAAAGGTTTCACTATGCTGCCCCCCGCCTTTCTAAAAAGTTTTTGAGAGAAAAATGTGGCGCATCACTACCATAAATCCATAGCTCTTGGACGATTTTTATGGCGGTTTGTCGTAATTTCTTTGATATTTTTGTTATCTTTTGTTAACAATTGTTTTTTATTGTTATCCGAAGGCTCTGTTGTTATTGTTGATATTGATGTTGTATTTTCCGGAATTGATCCACTTTTGATAGATAATTTAATTTCTTTATTAGGATGTCGTTTATCTTTTTTATCATAAAGCTCTTCTAATCCTTTTTTCCTTTTAGATTTTTTATGTCTTTCTCCGTCATCACTATCGTCTTTATGTGAACGTTTTGTGGACTTTTTCTTATCTTTTGAATGTTTCTTTTTCTTATCTGATTTTTCAGACTTACGTTTCTGACGATCATGTTCCTTTTTAAATATTGGTGGAAAAGGTGTTATACTATTTTCTGTATTAGTGGAATTAGTAGTATTAGTAGATAATGGTATTGGTGATTTTTCTTTATTTGTAATTGGTTCGAACTGCTGAGGGGTTATCGTTGAGCGTAAATCTTCAATAATTTTATTAAAAGGTTCCTATATTATTATTAATGATGATTATTGATTAAATATATAAATCGAATTACATAAAAAGGCGCTTTTAAGGAATTAATAAAAAATAATAAAAATACCGTGTCAACTAAATCTTCGTCTTTTGAACCCGATCCCTTCTCTGGTCCTGTGGTTTCTCCTAGGCGATGCAACAGTTGTGTTTTTCCAGGTGATGACTTTTCTTTATGCTCAGGATGAGGATTTGCAATATTAAAACGTTTACATAAAAGACGGTTAGGATAAAAATCTGATTTTGTTCTTGTAAGAGGTCCAAACATGTTCATTCTAGCTGCACTCTCTGCTGTTGACTCTGTCTGTTCAATAAAAGTTCGATTTACAGATTCCTGTATATTTGTATCTTTTTGATTGAATTGAATATTGGAATTGGTAATCACTGGACCAACCCTTAGACCTGATTCGGATTGTTTAAATTCATCAGATGAAGATTTACTACTAGTAAATCGAGATGCCATCATTAAAGGTATCGGACGAAATATTCTTGCTGCTTGAGCAAATTCATTTAGTTCTTTGAAATATTCTTCAGTGGTTAGACCCTAAGATATTTATTAAATTCAGAAATTAATATATTGAATTATATTTTAAGTCACATTACAAATTTATATACCTCAGGCTGTCTCATTAATTCAGCCGCTTTTATCTCAGCTTGTACTTCTAAGAAGAACTTGTATCGTGCCTGTTTCTTTTTATCATCATCAAAGGGAATGTATCCTTTTAAAGCAGCTAAAGCCGCTTCTTTTTCTACCTTTGGAATTTCAACTTTTGAAGTTTGTTCAATAGGCACATCACCATCTGAATCAGCTTTAACTCCAATTAAATTTTCCAACCGTTCCTTATCCCTTCTAGATACATAATCAAATACTGATCTTGATGAGGAATTTAATGGAACCTCGCCTAATAATTCTCTTCGCTGTATTTATTTAAATGTATAAATACATATATATATATATGAGCTTATGTTAATAGTAATATGAAAACTGAATTTATTTATTAAATCTAAAAGATTACCTGATCCGCTATCACTGCTAGAGTTGTTTGCTTTCGTGTAACTAAAGGAGTGGTGGAATCAATATTTTTAGATTTATCGGATATATCAAATTGATGAAATGGTATGAATTCTGATGGCAATTCTGGTGGACTGTACCTAATTTACGATTCGGTTAAAATTAAAAAAAAATTAATATGTGCGTAACAGCATAAAATCAATTAATAATGTCAATTACTTTAATTACCATTTATAGAGGAGTAGAGGTCTCTCTGCCAAGACGAAACCTTTCAAAGGAAAACTTCCATCATGACACAATCTGCCCCTAGATGTTGGAGGCTTAGATTGTTTAATAGAATTTAATAGATAAGCTTATACACTAGAACACGAAATAAGGAAACTTCTTTTATCTTTAAAAAATACCCTTTTTTCTTTCTCTTGCCCTTCACCAAGTTTCTTTCTTTTCATAACGCGATCACCTATACTCTGACCTTCTCGCCATCCCATTGCCTTTAATAGTCGCATTCCTAAAAGAGAAAATCAGTTAGAATATTTTAAATATTCTTTTATCTTAAAAGTTATCAAAAGTTATATTATTTGATTTATACCAATTGGTTCTTTACTAGGTAATATCAGGTCATCGATTAATGTGTCAGGAAGGGAACCCAATATACTTAAAAAGAATTATAAACCAATTAATCCCAAAAGTCCTTCATTCATCATTAATAATATTATTTCAAATTTCAAATTTGATTTACCTTCCACCAGCTTCCATAGAACCCGCCAAAGCAAGTTTTCTTTCTAATTCACGTTCTGTTGATCCAAGTGAATCAAATTCTTCTGTAACAACAAGTTGTTGTTTTTGTCCAAATTCCTATATACAACCAAAACTTGTTAAATGCGATCAAATTAAAAATAAATGAATAAATGTATCCAAGAATTCAAAGAAAATTTCTTTACCTCTAAATCCTCTTCATCCATAAAGTCTTTTGGGTCATAATTTTTTCGCTCGGATCTATTATTCCGCGAAGAAACAAACGAGGAAGGGACCCAACCTGGAATTTTTTATTTTATTTAAATTGCCCAATATAATCTACATAACTTTTGAACGATCTCACCAAACTATAAATGACATGCCTTCTTTTGATCCTACTGTATTAAAGTAACCTGCAGACCAGCCACCCTTAAAGGCTCCGTGAAAACGTCGTAAACCTTGCTCATCGCGAACCTAAAAAAGAACATCATGTCTTAAGTTTGAATTCATGCGATAGAGAGGATAAATTTTCGAAAATGCATACCTCTTGTTTCCAAACAGGTTGAAATTTATTCTGATCTTCACCAGTTTCACTTGGCAATGGAATTTCAGTTCCATACACTACGAATGTTTCGTTTTTTGAATCGTCATCATCGCTATCGTTTATGATTCTGGATTTTCTTTTATTGGAAGTCATTTTTATGATCCGCGAACAAATATACAATACAAATTTCTTTTGAATTGAACATAAAATTCAAGGTGTAACAAGTGTGCAAGGACCATATCACGATATCACGTGGAGACATTGTTTAAATGAGGTTGCTCTTAAAATGTACCCTCTACCAAAAGTATATATATTTTTTTTATTTATAATTATAAATGGAATTCTACAGTCAGATTAAGTCAGATTAGAAAATTTGGTTTTCACTAATTTCCGTAGTATTAGGATCTTGTAGTTTAAAACATCTTTCACATACAAATTGTCTATCAGAGAATATTATAGAACATTAGGAATGAATTTATCGCGACAAATAATAATAATAATAAACTTTTTATTATAATTACACTTTCATTTTTTCATTGCTTCTTGAATAAATTTCCACAGCGATGGTTCTCATCGTGCAATGATTACAATTGATCCAACAACGTTTCAAAGTTGGATCTAACGTGATATTCGTATCAAGAGATTCGCACAGATAACTAATATAATTACTATTTTAGTTCTTTTAATTATTAGTAATAAATAGTTATTATTGAAAATAATTTAGATTTACTTTGATTCACACGAGAATTCTTTAGAAAAAACTTGTCGATTCTCTTGTTGAGCATCTTCTGAATAAAAACAACTAGGGCAACACATTAAAAGTCTTTCGCTAGCATCATCAATTATTGGACGTAACATATTTCGACTGTATATATAACACGTAATTAAGTATAAATAATGATAAATAAAATATTAAAAATTAAAAATTAATTTTACCAAGTTGCGCAAAATTTGATCGGTGACATTAAAAAAATAAAGTTGCAATGCTTATACATTTATAAGTCTTTCAATTGATGATAATTCATGACGACATTTAAAAATATTGCTTTTTTTTTTTTAATATAATGTATTTTATTAATTTCTATGCTGCAAAGAATAAGAAGAAAATCGAAAAATAAAATCAATGAAGTCAACGAAATCAACGAAATCAATAAGAAGCCATTAAAAAGATCATATATACATATGGATACATTATTGCTTCTTTCATATAAAATCAAGGTAATGAATTAATTCTTGGATAGCACAAAATTTAACTTATCATAATGCTAGAAGGGTTTATAGATAAAATAAATCTGACCTAAACTTACTATATGTTACAACCTTGTATCCTTAATTACATCTTTTAGTAGATAAATATGTAACAACATATATATATTGTTACATACCTATTAGACTGTTAACTACTTAGTCTATACTGTTATACGATTACTTACTTATTTTTAGGTATTAGAATTTGAAATTTATTAAGTTATTGATTTTCTAGGTAGATATGTCACATAAAAGTTCACTTGGATTTTATTAAATTATTTCCTGAGATTGATAATTTTACTATTTAGGACAGGTGAGTAGCTAGTTTAACATTTTACTTCTGTTAGCATTTTGCCATTCTGATCATTATCAAAATCCTTTATAGAATACTACTTCTCTTCTGATCAGTTTACACAAGTTGGTATTACACATCTTGGTAATTGTTTTTCTGATGGGCCTTGAGAATAGAAGCAACAAGATATTATTTCAGTGCAAAAAAAGTAATAAGTTGCATTGACTATCACAGGTCAAATATAAAAGAATTGCCATACTGAAAAGGAATTCCAATTTTAGCTAATTTATTATATAGGATGCAATAGGACAGTTAATTTTACTGATTTTTAGCTGATCTATAATATAGAAATTATCATTTGGTACAGTGATTCTTTTGTTATTTGACTAGTGTATCTCATCACATTCAAATGTGAAAAATTCCAATCAAGTTATTCCAGATCAACAAATATCAAATGATTTAAGAAATGTAGTAGATTAAAACAAACTTGTTGTGAAATTAAACCTGAAGAAAAAAGACTTTTAAATTTGTAACTTGTTCTAAGTATTCAACAATAAATTAAGTTAAAGAAATATTGGAAACAAGAATTGAATTTGTCAATATCTTTTTTATTATAGACACAATAAAATAAATTTTTCAATAGAACTCAGGATAAAAAAAAATTTATTTTGCCAATTAGCCAATTATAATTTATTTACTTCTATATTACATATGATCATCAAATATTACATAAATATTTAAATGGAGCCAAATCAGTCCATATAACTATTAACAACACTATACAATTCAAACCAAGTCAAATCAAACTATCTAAGTTGATGGAATTGAATAAGATTAATGAGGTTAATGGTATAAATAAGTTCAAGTTGATCTCATCAGCCCTATTAACTCTATTAGTTTCAAATTGAAACTGATGAGATTGATGGAACTAATGAAATTGATGAAACTGAAAAAGTTAATAAATTGAAAAATAATTATTTACAGTTGCTATATATAAAACTTTTTTATTTATAAGTAAATATAAAAAATAGTACCAAGTAATCTTAAAAGCAAAAATAATATACATGTTTTATAAAAAAGTTTAGACTTGCATTATCAAAATTAAGAGAACATTTATATTAGATAATTCTTAAGAATGAATATATTCAGATATATTTGTATATTTGATCACCTATATATTTTTCTATATTAAAATATTCAAATTTATTTGGATATGTCTAGATATATCTGTATATGTAATTTATTCAGATATATTTGAATAAATTTTACATATTATATAAATTTATCTAAATAATTTATAAAAATATATAAATAAATTTATTTAATATATAAATATATTACTAGTCAGAATCACTGTACTGAGTAATAGATCAGCTAAAAATCAGTAACAATTGACTGTCCTATTGCATTTTATATTATAAATCAACTAAAATCAAAATTTCTTTTTGATATGACATATCTTTTGTATTTGACCTATGTATACAAATTTATTCAAATATATCTGAATAAATTCATATATGAATATATCTGAATAAATTTGAATCTATTTGCAAATATATTTGAATATATTTATAGATATATCTGAATAAATTCACATATGTGAATATATTTAGATATACAGTATTCATAAATATATTCAGATAAATATAAATATATTCAAATAAATTTGAATATTTAATGTGAATAAATATGTGAGTGATCAAATACAGTGGTGTTCAAAAAAAATGACAATTTTTAAAATCACGTTATTTAAATGATTATCACACCAATTAAAATGTATTTTGTATTATTTTAAAGCTGAAACTCAGCAGATTTTATTAAAAAAATTTAATATGATATTCTTTCTCCATTTTTTTCAATAACCTCTCTACAACGTCGTGGCATTGAATTTACAAGATTAATTAGAACACTATTTGGAACTTTTTCCCATTCTTCACTTAAAAGGCTTTCTAATTCGGTAAGATTTTTTGGTTTACGTAACTCTACGTTCCTCTTAACGATTGCCCAAAGATTTTCAATAGGGTTCAGGTCCGGACTATTGGAAGGCCAATCTATAACTTCTGGGACATTATTTTCAAGAAATTCTTTAGCAATACGACTAGTATGCTTAGGATCGTTATCTTGTTGTAGGCGCCATTGTCTTTTTAATATTCTGTTAACCTCCGGAATATGTTTTTCCAAGATTTCTATATAGAATTTTGCATCCATTATACGTTGAAAACAAAAAAGACTTGTTTTTCCTTTAATGCAAAAACCCCCCCATGCGAATATTTTTCTTCGGTCCTTTGGCATACGACGAACTGGTCTTGCATTTTTGTACCAGTGTTTAATTGTATTACGAAATAGTTGAAAAGATGTTTCATCGCTAAAAAGTGTTTTTTTCCAGTCGTCATCTTTATGTTTTTGTACCCATTCAATACGTTTTTCTTTATGAATAGACGTGAGCATTGGTGTACAGAAAGGGAGAGCATTTTGATATCCAAGGTTGGTCAAATGTCTTGAAACTGTTAAACGGGAAGCATTTACTCCAATATCTTCTAATTTAGAAGCAAGAGACTTAGCAGAAAGTGATGGTTGCCTTCGGATATACTGCCC